TTGTCGCAAAATGTAACATATGTCAATGATGTCAATGAATTTTCATTTAAAAAAAAGATGTCTAGTACAGTTTACGAAACTTACGAACTTCGCCGATACTTTTTTGGTGGGTAGTTTGGTAAGTATGTAGGCGGGTAGGTGGGTAGGTGGGTAAGTGGGTAAGTGGGTAGGTGGGTAGTAGGTAGGTAGGTAGGTGCGTCATGATGTGAAAAAATATTAAATACAAAATTGTTATTTTGGTGCGAATGAATGTTGTTACGAGAGATATGACAAATGCATGTTTGATGACGCGGATGAAAGAGAGTGAAGTTTTGCCATAGGAACGGGTTGTTATAGTATGCAAGCTAGGTAGTTCGGACTAGGGAGAATGTGAAAGATACTTCGTGTAATGTCGATAGTTTTATGTTTATACGAGAATAGTAGTTGAATAATTATTGACCAAGAAAATAATAGGCATTGTGTAAAGTGATTATCGCCTGTATCGTGGTGATGGGAATGCAGATGGTAGTGGTACGCTTTAAATGGTAGTAGATCACGTGATCAAACACGACACTCTCACAGCAGCCCTAACAGTCATGTATAAATGTGTCATCTAGTCCATATGGTCTTTGTGCTAAATTTCTCTTTTGTACATTTTTCTTTGTGTTTTTTCTGGTTGCGCATTTTTCTGTTTCTGTTTGCGCTTTTTTCCGTTTGCGCTTTTTTCTGTGTGCGCTTTTTTCTGTTTGCGCTTTTTTCCGTTTGCGCTTTTTTCTGTTTGCGCTTTTTTCTGTGTGCGCTTTTTTCTGTTTGCGTTTTTTTCCGTTTGCGCTTTTTTCTGTTTGCGCTTTTTTCCGTGTGCGCTTTTTTCCGTTTGCGCTTTTTTCCGTGTGCGCTTTTTTCTGTTTGCGCTTTTTTCCGTTTGCGCTTTTTTCTCTTTGCGCTTTTTTCCGTTTGCGCTTTTTTCTCTTTGCGCTTTTTTCTGTGTGCGCTTTTTTCTCTTTGCGCTTTTTTCTGTTTGCGCTTTTTTCTCTTTGCGCTTTTTTCCGTGTGCGCTTTTTTCTCTTTGCGCTTTTTTCCGTTTGCGCTTTTTTCTGTTTGCGCTTTTTTCTGTGTGCGCTTTTTTCTTTTTGCGCTTTTTTCCGTTTGCGCTTTTTTCTCTTTGCGCTTTTTCTGTGTGCGCTTTTTTCTCTTTGCGCTTTTTTCCGTGTGCGCTTATTTCCGTTGCGCTTTTTTCCGTTGCGGTTCTTTCCGGCCACCGAATAAATCAATTAATTAATTAACGTCTTTAAGTAAATGTGTGATTAACAGTCTGTCTGAAAACAAACATTTTTCTCTACCTACATACTATTTTACAGCTCTCCACCTAGCGCCGATTTTCTCCAGTATTTAATCGGGCCAAAAAACAAACAAATAAATATTCAAACATGTAAACAAACTTGAGTTTTAGTAGTATATAGATGTGTACCTTTCGATAATAAAGTAGGCCAATCTTCATTTTCATTGAACAGTGTTGATATTAATATAGTTGACCTTAATAGTGTTTTCTTGCATTCAATACTTTTCCTTATAAGAGTCACAACCTAAAATAATAACACAATGATCAGTTTATAAATAAAAGTTAATAATCATATTTCATGTTTTTAAGTCTATAATAAGCGTGTTAAATAGACTAAGACTAGGAGAAAAGAAAGAGAAAGACAAAGAGAAATACAAATACTATTGCAAATGCATTGCATTGTGATTTTTATAACAAATAAAGTCTACCCCCTTCCTACATGACCTCAGGATTTTTGTAAAAAACATTATTCAGTAATTAGAAAATGATGCTTTGAGTGTATTGACGTGATACATAAGTTTCATCTTCAACAGTATTATGCAAATTAGTAATGTGTACAAATAACTCACCGTGTCGGCATAGAGTAAAATGTCCATAAAAATATTAAAATTATTTAAAGTAAATGCAACACAATTCGAAAATAATGACAAAGTGAAATGAAAGTAATAGTTTATTAAAATAAAGCATATTGCATAGGGAAATGACAAATAACATGGTTACTTCTCATGATAATTTAAAAAAAACACCATTTTACAATTACAACTTAGAAACACATCAGGCTTCACGCAATTCGGATGTATCCTTTACAGCGTTCCATCTTGCACTTTTGGCCTAATCCATTTACTGAGACAGCATAGTGACCAACAGTGGTATATCTTACATCAGGGAACGGTCTTTGTATTTTTCTTGCTCTTTCGGGGGTAGAACACGTTTGCGTGCCTCAACATTATCATCATTAATTAATCAAGAACACGCGGTATTCCCACATACATTGTGGATGTCTGTGGGAAAAAACATGAATTGATTAATGTAAAAGCTACGTTATTTGTAAAATTGAAAAAGTCTAAGATTTGTATTCTTGGGGTGTTTCTGATCTCTATACTCAAACCAACTATTAACCAGAGTAAAAATCATCCGGACAGGAAACGTCCTTGTTTTAGCCTTTATTCTGTACATATTTATTAAACTGTCCATTTTTTCAATCCCTCCTATTTACACATTGTACAATTCGACACACTTTGGCCTTTTGACTAAAAAGAAATCTTGTATGTCAGCACTCCATGAATGTACTTGGTCTTTATCGTCCACTACAACAAAGCTATATGTTAATGTAACAGAGTTTGTGAGTTGATAAATGTTAGTTTTTAGTGCAAACGTTTTAAATAAATCAAATTTGAAATAATGTATAAAATATAGGGATGGTATAGTTAAGCCAGAGCCTATATCAAATTGGTCGAGCCCTTCGGTGTTAAACGTTTCACAAGGGAAAGCACCCCATAAGATGTCCATCTGATTGGCTGATTTTTTTGTTCACATTTGTGGGTGTTTGACTATCTAATGCGCTAACTTCCTGGTCATGAAACATTTCATCATAACATTTTTGCTCTGTATTATTCATATCTGGATTAGTATTTTCCTCATCAGATAAATAAAATTCTCAATTATCCAAATCATAAAGGCCACCATTCAGTCATACCTTTTCGGAAACAAGGAGCTGAAATTAGAATATTTTAGCAAAAAAAACAAACGAGTACGTTAATTCAAAACCTATATTTTAAAAATAGAGGTCCTTCGCTAAAAAAAGAACACAAAATAAAAAAACAGTAAATTTACTACAAATATGTACACATGTTTAGGTCTAAAAGTATTAATTATCAGTTTCAATTTAGTTTACTTTTATTTCAGTCATTTTTTAAATCTAAAATAGCAATTCAAATTGCTAATATATTTAACCAACAATCAATAATTTAGGTCAACAAGTAAGTCTAGATCTATGTCTAGGTTAGCTGGAAATTTATTATAAAATTTATATGTAGACCTATACAATTTTTACTTTTCTTAGGTAAAAAATAATTAATTTTTATTTTCATTTTTGTTCACAGCTTCGTTTCAGTCATATTTAATCTAAAATGGTCATTTCAAATAGCTGATACCTTTTACAAAAAAAAAAAAATAACAGTAAAATATCTAAACAAACGAGTAAAGCTTGTATAATAATAAGCATAACCTTTTTTAGATTTGCCACGCTTTGTACAAGATTGCATACTACATTTTCATTTTTTAAAACGTATTTAGCAAAATACATATGTTGTGCTAACATGATATTAATTTAAAAGGGTAATCTATCGTTTTAGCTACGTAAAATCGGCCGATACTGGTAATGTGAAAAAAAAGATGACTGATTAAATTTTAGTAATTATTTCACATTTTTAGGAGGATTTATGTTTTGAAAGTTACAAAAATGTTTCTAAGTTTAATTCATGTACCTGTGTTTAAGCAATTGTTTAAAACTTTTCATTATAAATATTATAAATAACGACTAGCGATGTTTTCATCAGATGGAACCCAGCTTATTTACTTTAGCAGCCATCTTGTTTAAGTGTTTTTTTGGTAAAATTATAGTTAGAGATTCAGTGGAAACCACTCTAAATTACTGATGGTCGCTGTTTATATAACAAATCTTGCTCGCAAACACTGCTGTTTAAAGTTAATTTCTGGCCAATATTGATATATTTAGCCATTGATTTTGGTTTATTATTCAGTTATCTATTATATTTGACACAAATATATCACAATATACTTCTTAAAGCCTTAACAATGGGGCACCTTTTTTGCACATTACTAGCAGCGGGCGACTTTACGCACCTGAAACGATAGATTACCTTCAAAGGTAATAAGTAACATCTTACTTTATAAATAAATATTATTACTCATGATTTATTCAATCACTTTATCATCAATTATAATTATGAAAATACTCACCTGTGAGCACCAGTTTAGGCTGGGTTTCCAATTTGAATCATTTTAAAAATTAAAAACTCAAGAAAAGAAATTGGATGTTTAAAATGTTGAAATGTTGTCAATGAATGAAAACAATACGAAGCAATTGAATATTTGAATGTTTAATGATAATTTATTTTTAAAAAAAAAGCCATGAATACAAAGAGGACCACCGCGTCGGAAGGGGCTGCTATGTTTAGCATTACGTTTTTGCTTATCCGTAAAGTGTCTTTCGTTTCGAATTCGTTTGCAAAAGAAAATAAACGAAATTTATAATACGGAAAGTAATTTTTAAATTAAACATGTTTTGTACCTAATAATAATTTTTATAATATTTTATTTAATCTGCTTGCTGTCTGCCGTGCATTTCTCGTCATAGATCACAGATATAGTGCACTTAATTAACTTTTTAAAACAAAGTCACACGCCTAAATTAACACAATATCTAACGCGTTGATTAAACACATATAAATGTTTCGTCATTTCGTCATTTCTCTGTGAAAGATTCTAATTTGAAGTAAAGTACGAAACACGTACGCTAGAGTAGGTATTAAGAAAAAAGCATTATTTTTTTCCAAAAAAGAGCAATAATTGCAAATTGTATGTGTTTTGTATTAACTAGACAACATATTTAATAACAATTTGATTATAAAACATATAAAAGCTAATTTACGTTTAAATATATGTTGGTTTGGACAGAAACAAGTACTCATTTCGAATTAAGTTTTTTTAAATGTGATTGTTTAAAAGATTTTCTTAATGACAAATGTCCACATGAAATGTATTGAGAAAGTAGGTAAGAGGCAGACATTGATTGATCGGCTTTAGAAAAATATTGAACAAACTTTTCCAGTTTTTGATCTTTTAAACTGTTTTGGTTGAACTTTCCACATTGCGATATTACACAGAATATAAACACTGTATTTAATCAGGAAAAATGGAACCTGAAATACATATATATATATATTCAATTTATTTATTCATTCATTTATCTACATTGCTGTTCTATTATTTTTTGGTAAATAAATGTTTCTACACAATACAGTCATTACAACTTCAAAAAGAAATTTAAGAGTGGAAATGTTTTAACCTTTTTTATTGCTAATGCGTTTAGAAAATTAGTCAGTAGCTCAATTGCGTCGTTTCTAGCCAAATCCTGTAAGGAATACAAATTACTTCCATATCACTATAGTAAAATATAATCAATAAAGCGGGAGCTATCTCTCTTAACCTTTCTCGAATATTCTTATATAACAATACGGGTGGTGATAAGTCATTATTTTTAATCAATTTTGAATTAGTTAAACTTTTTAAAATAAACTAAAATCTCGTAGAAAACAGCATTGCGCACCAAGTGATCAGCAAAGAATGTGTGTATAATAGTGCGGAATATTAGTGCTTTATAAAATCACATTCGTTTTTTTTTTTCAAATCAAAAATAGGACTGAAGACTTTCTTATGGTCAAAAGAAAATTATTCAACATTTGAAAGAATGCAGAAAGCTAGATCTTTTACTAATTTGTGAAAAGTCGTTTATCTATCTAAAACAGTACTTAAGTTATAGGCTTTTTAAAAACCAAAAGAAGAATAAGTTCCACTTTCGGTTATAGGAAATCGATTAAAAGTTGATTCAGAACTACAAATTTGATATACAAATTTGATATAATACGTATATATGAAATGTCATTACCTTAGCTAAATATATTTGCAATTTCGGCTATCTATATACTACTAAAACTCAATGTTAGAAATGTATTTCTTTTTTTTTTTTTTGTTTGTCTGATTGACTACTGGAGAGAATCTGCGCTATGTGGAGAGCTGTAAAATAGTATGTAGATAGTGAACAATTTTTGTTTTCAGACAACTGTTAATCACAAATTTATTTAAAGACGTTAATCAATTTATTGATTTATTCATTTGTAGATTAACCACATTAATTTTATGCTGCAGAGTCATGGAAACTAAACAAGAAAGAAGAGAGCCAACTCAGAGGCTTTGAAAGAAGATCCCTCCAACGAATCCTCAGGATAAAGTGGGACGACAAAGTCCCGAACAAGGAAATATGGCGAAGGACAGGATTAAACGACATTGTCTCAGAAGTTCGAACGAGGAGATGGAGATGGCTGGGCCATGTCCTACGCATGAGCAAAAAAAGACTCCCCAACATGGCGCTGAAGTGGAACCCACCCGGAAAGAGAAATAGAGGAAGACCACTGGGAACATGGAGGAGGTAGATGGAAGAAGAAGTACAGGCTACTGGCAAAACCTGTCATGAACTAAAGTGGCTCGCCCAGGACAGGGTGGAATGGCGGAGGTTTGTTGCTGCCCTATACTCCACATGGAGTGATGAGGATTAAGTAAGTAAGATTAACCACATTAATTTTAAAATTTTAGAAAAACGACTTTACTTTAACGGAATAGTGACGTCATATGATTTGTTTACTTTTTAGTACAATAAATTGCGACTTCAATCCAAGATAGTTGCCGATTCAGATGTTTAACGCGTTCTTAAACTAATTTTCTCGACGACTATAACTTTAACAATACATCCGTTTGATATTTTTATTACGTTTCAACACTATTATCAATTTTTTAACATTTCTTTTTATTTTATTATACAATACATTAAATTTGAAATAATTCTAGATCTAATTCTAGGGCTGATTCGCGTAGATTGTTACGCCGCTTAGAAGTAAAACACATAAGTTATTAACTTCTCGAGAGTACGAGCCTAGATAGCTAAGAGGTTAGCACATTAGGTTACCATGCGCGTGGCATGGGTTCTAGACATGTCAGAGTTGTTTTTTTTTTTTTTATTTTTTTGTTTTTGGTTGTGAATAATAATGTTGCCTTTGCCTATTGGAATTTAGCGGGATACAGGGCAGGTGAAGTAGAGTTCACCATTTTCTTTGTCCTCAGTATATAAAGTGAATAGTTTCGTCAGAGCCGTGCTCGGCCGGAATCTTTTTTTTAAGATAAAACATGTTGTCTGAGACTTGGCGGAACACTGGGCAGGTGAATTAGTTTTGGGCAGGTGTCAAGTTCACCTGTGACGACAACATATGAAGAGATAGTGTGGTCAGACCCACGCTCAGCCAAAAACATGTCTGAGTTGGGAGGACACTGGGCAGGTGAAGTAGAGTTGACCTGTTTTTGTGACGTCAGCATATGAAACGATTATGTTGTCAGACCCATGCTCAGACGAAGTGTTTTTAAAAGACAAAAACGTCTGAGGTGTGACGCCTTTTTGAATGTTGGGTCTGGTTATTTTGTGATGATTAGTGACAGACGTGATGTCATTTATGGATGACCCCCGAAACCCACAGTTATCTAACTAGATAACGGGTAGTCTAGTCAAACTATAAATTTACTTAAGTTATAGGCTTTTGAAAAACAGTAAATTGCCGAAACGTTTATTCAGAACTACAAATTTTATATAATAATTATAAATGAAATTTTGTCATCCTAGCTTTAAAGGTAGTCAAGTTATCGTATTCACAGACAGACACACAGACTGATATAGAGGCAGACACACATATCTATGGACCACATTCCAAAACTAAGTTTTTCTGACTTAGGGAGATGTACAACGTGGAGATTTGTGTAAATCTTGATTTCAATTTTTTGCACGATTACATCACTTCCTCTATACTCTGTATAAAGTAAAAATCAGGTGTAAGCTATGACAGATTTATGTTTATTTTCTCGTATACAGAGTATAGAGGAAGTATTGTAATCATGCACAAACCTTACATGTTTTCACAGTTTTACTTCTCAATTATTCAATATGTACGCAGTATAAAGGACTTATTTTATTCGGGCAAAAGTTTTAAAACCAAATTTATTAAACTGTCGGCGCTTTACACATCATATAGTTGGGAAGCTGGGTTTTGTAATTCTGTCCGTATGTCTGTGTTTGGATTTGTGTGTGTGAACACGATAACTTGAATACTGTAACAGTTAGGTTGATGAAATTTCATATATAAATATGTTATCAAATTCGTAATTATGTTTCAACTTTTCCGCAATTTCTTTAAACCCAAAATGGAACTTATTTTACTTTTGGTTTTTCAAAAACCTATAATTTGGGAACTATTTCTGATAGATAAATGGCATTTTACAAATTAGTAAAAGATCTAATTATCTGCCTTTTATAACATTTCTAGCAATTTTCGTTGACCGGAAGTAGTACTTTACGCTATTTCCAGTTTCTTAAATAACGTATATGAATTTATAAATACTAATATTCCGCACTATTATACATACATTGTTTGCTTTTTACTTGAGGCGTAATTCTTTTTTCTACGAGATTTTGTTCTATTTTTAAAAAAATTTAAGTAATTAAATATTGATTAAAAATCCCGTCTATATCCTAAGTTGCACACCCCGTTGTGTTATATAAGAATATTCAAGAACGTTTAAGGGAGATCACTCCGCTTTTTAGTTTTTAAGAATTAATAAAGCTTTTAAACAGTGTTGTGCCTAATAGTGCCATATGTAAATTTGGAAGTAGCATTTCTGTTAAAAATAAACTTTTCCTATCTTCTGCACATATTTCAACATTACTGTAAAAAAAAACCTAGTAGTATGTTACAGACATGTTTTTATGTGAGGTATATTCAATATATTAGAACGCTTATCAATATTTGAAGCTTAACTAACCTTTGCGAATTCCATATTAATTGCTGATAAGTTATTAAGATTTTTCAGAGTTGCATATGCTACAGCATAGGAGAATTGAGGTGTACTTGAGTCAAATAGTCTTAACTTCCACACTGAACACATAGTAAGCTCTGAAAAATAGCATTAAAGCTTTTATAAATGTATCAAAATCAAATTAGCAGTACTCACTAGATACACCATCATTGGTTGCAAATTATATTTTTTAAATTGTTATGTGAAGGCCTACAGATAATTTTGTGAAATTACACCACTGTCTTAAATTATTTTTTTTTTAATTTATGAGTAAGGCAATATCGAAAAACAAAAGCGTCGGGCGCTATACTATGTGCTAAATATGTTTAATAGAATTTAAGAAGTGACCCAGTCCTTTCTTTTTAGTTATTTAAATAATAGTTTATTATTATATATTAAAAGATAATTTATTGTCTCTTTTTTAGTGCATTTTTATATCAAAGCTTGTTATTAAAACATATTTTATTTTTTTTAAAAATGCAGTATGTTTTTTTTTTAATACAGTAGAGTTGCTTGATTAAAAACTATTGTGCACCAAATGAACATAAAAATACGCCTTTGCAGATAAGTTTCTCTCATTGGTAGGGCCTGGTCTGTACGGCTTGCTATTAATAAAATTACTCGTTGTTTTATGTATTTCACATACTGTCGTAAAGTTAAGCATTATGATATTTAAATTAAATGCATCTAATTGTGAGGTAAAAGGATCTAAATAAAATTACCGGCAAAATTACGTTGAACTAATATTTGAGAAATGTTAAAATTTTCATGAGGTAAATATTTCGTTATCCGAAAAATGATTTTCTGATAGAGATAAAACTGGAATAAATCGATAGAATCAAAATTTTCTATATCATCTCCATCTTGTTCTGATAAGAAATATGACTTTAAGTTTTCAAAACTTCGGTCGTCCATAAATCCAGAAAAAATCTGCAAAAAATATAAATGGTAAGTAAAATACAAAAAAGCGACACATACAAACATACGCCTACGCTTAGTTATAATAAGTTATACTAATAGTTATATTTAAATTAACTACATTTATATTTATATAGTTATGTTCATCTTCATCTTCATGACATTGGCATTGGCATTGTCAGTGAAAGTGACAGTGACAGTGAAAGTAACATTGACATCTGAAATTTGACATTTGACATTGAGGTAGAGGTTAAGGCACAGGTAGAGGTACAGGCAGTGGAGTCGCAGTAAGGCACTCGTGGTGACATCCCTCCAAAAGAAATTATATATATATATATATATATATATATATATATATATATATATATATATATATATATATATAGGCATAGGCATAGGCACAGGCACAAACAAAGGCGTGGGCGTAGGCGTGTGCGTGGGCGTAGGCGTAGGCGTAGGCGTAGGCATAGGCATAGGCATAGGCATAGGCATAGGCATAGGCATAGGCATAGGCATAGGCATAGGCATAGGCATAGGCATAGGCATAGGCATAGGCATAGGCATAGGCATAGGCATAGGCATAGGCATAGGCATAGGCATAGGCATAGGCATAGGCATAGGCATAGGCATAGGCATAGGCATAGGCATAGGCATAGGCATAGGCATAGGCATAGGCATAGGCATAGGCATAGGCATAGGCATAGGCATAGGCATAGGCATAGGCATAGGCATAGGCATAGGCATAGGCATAGGCATAGGCATAGGCATAGGCATAGGCATAGGCATAGGCATAGGCATAGGCATAGGCATAGAAAAGAGAATATCACACCAAATGTACAGTGTGAGTATAATATGCTGAAAGTTCGTAAATTTGAAAAACAAAAATTGTTAATGAAATTTTTCCAGGTGTTTTCTTCTACTATATTTAACTATGATATTTATGTTACTTCACATATCCGGATATTTATGGTAATGAATTTATTACTTACTATATTACTATATACCCCTTCCGATGCTGCGACACGCCATTTGTCTACCAAAATCTTTGACCTAAAAATATAACACAGTATTTACAGTAGTCGAGGGTTGGCATTTTCGTTACATTTGATGTTGTTTACCGTTATTTTATGATTTTTGACAAATTTTGTATTTATATTAATAAAACTATTCAGTAAAAACAAATAAAGTATACACTCGGATGATGCCAAGGTATTAATATATTTAATTAGACAATTTCATAAATAGTAGCTACCAAGAAGGGTTCTGTGAGTGCGCATATTCATTAAAATGGTGGTATTCGATATCTTCATAGGGTTAAGAAACAAATAACTTTTAATTTTAGTCTTAGGTAATGGTTCATTTTATCTTGCAATATTATCAATTGTAAAGTAATATGTGTTTTATTTAATCTTATTTAAATGTTAGAAATAGTTATCATGCGTTAATTTGTTATATTTTGCTATTCTTGTATATGTTCAGTTTTGTTCTTTTTATATTTTTATTTAGTGTTTTAATATCATAGCTTGCTTATAGGTTAATGTTAATACAATTTAGATTGTCGCGGTTAAGTGAACTAAATTATAAAATTGATTTACATGAAACTACGAGTTTACATTTTACTAATGTTTTTATAATCTTTAAAATCTCTAATTTTATTTATTTGTATATTTTACTCGTTCAATACAGGTATTCAAATTATTTATAAACAATAACTATTCTAGTAACATTAATTATTGAAAACATATTGTGATTTTTAAAGTATCTATTCTTATCGTATACTTTCTTTGATTTAGACTCCTTTATATTGTGCATTGCAGTACTTATGGGGCAGATAATATTAACTATAGATGCATTATAAGAGCAGCTCACTTGTTAATGTTACAATCTGAGTTTAGAAATAATAGGTAAACGACTGAAATCGCTTAGATTCAAGGAATCCTAAATTAATTCAATAGAATGTAAGCTGACGTAATTTATTAGTTTATTTAGTTGTATTTATTATTTTAATAAACGCAGGATTTAAATAAAGCAAATATTGTAATTGGTTTTTTTATTTATTTTGAATTACATATATACTTGAAAGTTAATAAATAAAAACTGTTTTCCAATATAAATTTAAAAATCGTTAGATGCAGTAAATATTGACCAATGCGAACATGATTGACTATGAATATAATATTTACGATTTGGGGACGTTTTAAAAATGAAGTAATACTAACCTATCTATGGTTGGAAATAACGTTTTTACTTTATTTACAATTGGTATTGGCATATCTTTTTCATATCCCACTGAAATTAAAATAGAAGAAAATATATTAGAATAACATATTCACTATCATTCGGATATTGATTAAATTTGTAATACGTAAGATATTTTTTCAATACCCGCTTTTTCTATGAAAGTTGCCAAATCTGCTGCAGTAAGTTGGAAGAAATTGTTGTTGAGACAAGCGCTTTCATCACTGACAAGTTTTATTAACCTGAGCCAAATGTATAAATCGGCAAGTTGAGCTTCGACTCCAAACAACAGCAAGATCCACATGAAGTCAAATTTAAAATCTTCTGCCGCAATAAATAGAACGTTCAAACCCTCTTCATTAATCAAGCGCAAGTTTATCTTGTTATCCCTCGTAGTTGTCCGTGGAGTATGTTGATTGAAGTCTTCTAAAACAAATTTTGTATTACCAGTGGGATCCGATATAACTGTGGATACCTTCTTATAAATAAGCTCTAATAAGTTGGCTTCAAAAACAGATGATGTGTTTAATATGGTAAGTACACTTTCGAAATTTATTCCGAATTTGTGAAAGCAGGCAAAATTACTTCCATGCTTAATCAAGGTCTTAAAAGCAACAAAATCCATCATAATAACTGCTATCATCAATACGTTTAATCCTTTCTTATTAAACTTATTAAAATCACAACACCATCTAGCCACCAGCTTCTTCAATAACTCGTACTGATTATATTCACACAACATTTTAAACACATTCCACGCTTCTTTTTCCTCGTATTCTGTACTGTCTTTGAGTAATACTTCAGCTACATTAGAATGTCCGTATTTTAAAGCTAAAGTTAAAGCATTGTCTCCCCTCTCATTCTTAGCTTTCACGTATTGTTCATGTTTGTCTGGTGATATTTTAAAACTTTCTTCCAGTAAAACTTGTACAGACTCGGCATGTCCTAAGTAAGATGCAAACATCAGTGGAGAGTAGCATTCACGTTGAGAGGGTTGGCAATCGGCTGTGACATTTTTCAACGAAATTATGCTATCACTGATATTAGAATTTTCATTCACTGGCGCATAATTTAAGTCAATACTTCTAAATTCATCAATACACACGTTGTTACGTAACAGAGCAGATACAATTTCGAAATGGTTATTCTTTATCGCCAGCATAAGAGCATCGTAACCATTTTCATTATCCTGAAAAATGTCTGCTTGCTTTGAAACAAGCATACCAAAGATGTCTATATAACCAAACTCTGTAGCAAGCATTAAAGCATTTGCGCCTTCCATGTCTATCACATTTACATCACATCCTGCTGATATCAAATACCTCACCACATGAACTTGCCCTTTCTCTAAAGCCAACATTAAAGCTGTCTTACCTAGGTAGTTTTTCAGATTTAGGTCAGCATTTGATTCAACCAAAAGTTGCACTACATTTAAATGTCCATTTTGTGATGCTAACATTAAAGCAGTAGACCTTACGTGGTTTATTTCATTAACATCATATTTTATTTGGATTAAAAACAGAACAGTGTTGTGATTTCCAGTGGAACTTGCCATCAACAAATGATCGTTTCCATTGATGTATATGTACTCAGGTTGGCATAAACTGTGTAATATATTTAAAACACCGTGGATTCGCATATCAATAGCTACTTGAATAGCATTAAACAGCTGGGGTAAGAAACTGTCAGGTTCAAATATAAGAGACGAAACAGGAGCATCTTGTTCATGTATTGCAGCAATAAATTCTTCCCACTTGTAAATCTTTGTGTGGTTTACATAATTAGCTTTATTTTTAATTTGTCTCACAATTTCATCGTGACCTCCCAACTCTGCACACATTAAAACAGTCAGACCATATTTATTGCTTAAGTTTATATTGGCGCCTAGAGTAATTAGTAACTGAAACGTTTCAATTTTACCACACAATCCTGCATACATTAAAGGAGTTATATTACCAGAAAAGAAATCAGGAAAGCTAATGTTATAACATATAAATCGAATTAAGTGTACGTGATTGAAATGTAATGCTATTATCATCAAACTGTTCAGATCATGAGCACACCATTTGCGATATTCTAAAAAAGGTAATAGTTCAGCAGAGCTTGGTTTAATCCTTTCATAATAAACAGCTAACATGAGAGCATTCCACCCATCCTTTTGTTTAAGTGTCAAGTCAGCTCTGTGCCGTTTTAGGACATTGACGACCCCTATAAACCCGTTACTAGCTGCAAGCATGGAAGCTGTCCAGCCATTTTTATCCTGAACGTTAACATCTGCTCCACTTATCAGTAAAAGTTTGACAACTTCCTTGTGCCCGTTGTTGGAGGCAAACATAAGAGCGTTCCATCCGTTCTCATCAACTAGATTTATATCGGCATTTAGTGACATTAAATATTTTACATAAGTGTAATGTCTGTTTTCTGAAGCCATCATCAACGCTGTTCTACTGTCAAAAGTTGTGTTTAAATCGAAATTTTGTTTTAATGCTCTCTGCAGCATATATTCACACCCCAACACTCCTGATTGAAACAAATATGTACTTTGTATTACATTTGCATACAGTTGATTGTCAAGAATTTTCAGTATTAATTGACAATGACAACGTAATCGTTTTGTCCATTCTGACATGTGAAGATCTGGAATTCTTTTAGAATGGTTTATTTTGTCATCTATTTCCGACCGTAAACCCGCATCGTGTGATAATGTACACAGCATAAACAAAAAGTCTGGATCATAATCTAAGAATAAACTCTCATCAGACAGTAAAATATCTACCACTTCCTTCCAACCATTTTGTAACGCCAATAGCAAAGCACTGTATCCATTGTAAGTTTTGCGATTAATGTCAGCTCCATTTTCTACCAACAGCTGCACTATATTGTGATGGCCATAAAATGAGGCTAGCATTAGAGGCGTCCAGCCTTGAATTCTATATTCAACAAGAGGTGTGTCATTAACAAGCTCGTTTACCAAAACACTCAACCCTTTTATAGATGCGATATGTAGATGACTCCATTCATTTTCGTATGGAGTTAAATCAATCTTATTTTTTATCGTCAGCAGATATTCCACCACAGTAACTTGCTCAAAATAACATGCAATTTTTAGAGCATCCCATCCACAAATGTTTTTATTTAAATTAGCATTGTTTTCAACAAGTAGCTGAAAGATATTTATATTTCCATTTTTTGCCGCCAGCATTAGTGACGTCCACCCTTTGATCGTACAATCTATGTTAATAGATATATACTTTAAAACCTCCTCCACGATATCAACATGTTCACGTTCTGTAGCAAGAAGCAAAGACGTCCAGCCGTGCTCCTGCAGGTTTATATCACATCCTTGTTTTATAAGTTTTAGAAACTCCTTACGGCATCCTTTGTAGACAGCTTTTAAAAGTGGATGAGAGATCAAATTAGAGCTTTCACACATGTTTCTATTGTAAGTTTATTTACTCCGACTTTTATTCTTTTCTGAAACGAAAAAAAACGTTTTGCATAGTCAGTGAAAACTAGTATCTAATGTTGATTATAAAGTCTATTAATTATTCAACTTCTGTTCGATTGTACTTATTGGTTGCTGCAATAAACAAAATGTACATCCACATCTTGTAGCGTTTCCCAACATGGGCCTTACATCTTACCAAAGGGAGGGGGTATTTGATTTTTGTAAGGGGATTAAATAGTTTCACTTTTTAAAAGAGTTCCACCTAAGAACATTTATAACAGCCGATGATCTACCGTAATAACATATGCTACGGTCTATAAAATCTTCCGTAAAAAAAAGGAGCAAATGCGATTTATTCTACTTCTACAATCTTCTTGTAAAGCACAGCCCCATCTACGAGAGACAATTCTAACATAAAGTTGTAGGCCTACACAGCTTATTACAAAACAATTTTTCTAGCAGCCACAAAATGTATTCGAAGAATATTAAAAAAAACATTACTTTTCCTGAAATTCTTCAAGACCTCCAAAGAAATTACATGATAAAAATCGTTACCAAAAACACAGTAGAACACTTGACTTCTGTTAAAAATCTGTGTATATAATTCTCTTCATGGAGGTACCATACAGAGCACCACGTAAGCTCAACAGACTATATCGCTACCATTCCCAACCCACCAGGAGAGGAGTCGAAAGTGAGGCTGAAAATAATCTTCCGTCACTAGCTACTGATAGTGTTTTAAAGCAAAATATTTTCAGTCGCAGCATTGGTAGTGTCGAATTCACAAATTATGAATGACAGAAAAATATAAAATAAACCAACTAAATAGCGGCGTATGCTACGTGGCGGCTCAGCTCGTAATATTTTAAAACTAAAAAAAAGCAGCGAAGGTTGTATTTCAACATGGTAGTTTAATTGCAGTAAAATAAATCTTGCAGGAAAGATTTTAAAAACTCATGGTCACAACATTTGTAGTTTACGCAAAAAGGCTTAATATACACCAATTCGGTCAGACCAATCTTAAAATATTGCACTAAAGCTTTGAAATCAGTAACAAAAAAAATCAGCTAGTAAAACTAACAACATAGAGAAAATTGTACTAAGATTTATATCAGAAGCTATGAAAAAAACTCCAAAAAAGCTATTTAGAAAGGAATGCAGCCATTATTGGACGGCGTTGACAAGCGGTAGGGTGCTAGCCTGCTAACCCACACGTCTTGGGTTTAAATTCATTTGCAAGTAAGTAATACTTTTATTAGCCGTTAACCATTTAAGTTGTAGTCGTTTTTTATTCTTTTGAAAAAAAACTTGTATTTACTTAAGAGAAAAAACATTAAAGCCATACGTCTATATCATTAAAAAGTATTACATATTATAATTGACAATCGTATTTCATACTGTACAAGCAATATCTAAAATAAAAGCTCTGTAACCAAGGTCGTAAGTGTAAGGCTTATTTACTGTGTTTGCCCCATTTCATTGGATTATCTAAAAATAAACTTTATTACTTTACAACACTCCTCCTTATCTGTACATTGACTTGCCCGGTAATATAATAAAAGTAACAATAAAAGTATATATTTTTAATTGTGACAATATTCGGCAAGGTAAGCTTTTTTATATTATTAGTAGCAATAAATTAAAATATATATTATTTTTTAAAAGTTAATCAAAGTGCAGAAAGTTGGAAAACTATTTACATTTACAGTTACAATGCCATAGAATAAGAGGAAAAGAAATAATGCGATGACTCTATGTAGGAAGCATAAAATCTTTATTTTTCGTTCCGTTTAGAACATATTTTCAGTTAAAGCATGTTTTGTTGTATTAGCAAGATTATTCCATAAATTGGCCTGAATATGATAATTAATAGAATGTATAATTATATTTAAACATTTTTTTTTTTAAATACAAAAAATCAATCCTCACCTTATCCACAATTTCACTGATGTATATATCAATTAAATAAGCACAATAGAAATGTTTATTTCACTTTGCTGTTGCTGTTATCACATGTGTGTTATCGGTTGATAGTTACTAGTTCATGCATTCTGTCTAGCAGCGGCACCTTATCTACCTGAAAGCCAGTCACACGAGAACTTGAAATGATGTTTGATGTTTTGCTGTATGGTTCTTTATTGCTGTGTTAAATAAAACTAGTACACCACTTAAAGAAGGCTCATATATTTTATAACGCTTTCCACTACGCTATCTAATAGCTTTTTATGGCGACCTTTTGTAATTGTTAGCTTGTGTGTTGATATTCCAACTACACCATTAAACTTTACTTAAAATCTGAACCTCTAAATAACCAAAGTAATTAATTCATAGTGTTGCCTTTTTTCTCTAAACCGAAACTAAATTAGAATTTTCTACATCAACTTAAAATTTAACCGGCAACGAAAAATGCCATTGAAAACAGATTATTATCCAGAATCGGCTTTTTAACAGGATGTAACCTTGATCTTCGCGTTGTTATTGAAACATGATAAATATAGTCGTTTAATACTTCTAAACCTTGCTTCTAGGCTCAAACTTGACAAACGTCGCATTTAGAATTTCCTTTTAGTTTGTCTTTTTTGTCTAGTCTGTAACAACAGTGTTGTGTGCTGCCGAAGACCTTGGGTCCAAAGGTCCAGGGTATTTGTAACTGTCTTTAATTTGTGAGGTATGTAACACTATCTGTTTTCTTACGAGTTTCTATCAGGTAATTCTTCAAGGGAAGTGGCGGAGTCCGCCGAAGAATGTCTACCGTCCCCTAAAACGAAATTAAATGTATATAGAAAATATACTTTTGCCAGTTGGCAGCTCCTCTCCACGAAAATTTAGTCCACCCTCCCCTCCCCAGTAAACCTCAATCATGCAGATAGTGTTTCTTTCAGACTTTTTTCTCGGTTGGGGGGGGGGGGGCGGATTGAATTATCCGGGCGAGGTGGGCTGACATTGGTAACAGTATATTGTTTTTATACAAATTCTATTTTGTTCGAGACAGGGGCTTTAATGTTCTTCGGTCGGGGGTGGGGGGTGGGAGGGGGGTGCGGTGGATTAAATTCTACAGTGGGGTGGGCGAGGGGAGGGGGGCTGAAACCATTAGAGCTATATATTTTCTATATAAATTGTATTTCTTTGGGGGGGGGGGAGGGTGAGGTAGACGTTATTTAGGGGTGGGGAGGGGGGTGCCTACCTATCCAAAGAGATTTAAGATTTGGCAAATAAATTATGTGATATTGTAAGTGCCCTTATTATCAAGTATAAATGTTGTCATTACTTTTGCGGGTTTTTTTTTTAAATTTCGGCAATGGCTTGTTAATTCAGTTTTCTCTAGAATCGATGACGTCATTTTATTATGTGTACTTTTCCGGCTATTGTACATATATAGTACATATTTCGGTTAGTTTAAAAAAATTCCTTTATGTTTCATGTGACGTAGAGATCTTTTACTATCCATTTAAAAAAAAAATTCCTTGTGTTTTCTCTAGAGCGTTTCCGACAAACAGAAACACAGACAGAATAGCGAAACTATTATTATCAATGAAGCCTTAATTATATCATGTGGAAGCAGCTTCAAAAATCCTTCGCATTCTTTATATGTTTGCTGATTTGTCGAATGCTTATATCTGATATATTAAAAAATCAATATCTATTTTTGTTTATCTGTTTTATGCCTTTTGTTCCCATGAAATTTTATCTTTGAAAACTAACCTATACAACTGAATATCTAACAAAACATTAATTAAAATAGCTTTTGTGCATCTCTTCCGACAAGCTTTACAGTTAGTTTATGAAATAACTTTGTAATACAACATAGCTTTCTGTAAATGAAAATATATTCGAAACAAAATGAAGAAAAAAGATTTCATGACTACCTAAACTGATTAACCGCAATGTTTCTTATTCCTCTTATTCGTTTCACTTTAAATCTGGCCGAGATGATAGTGTAATAGTTACAATGCGCAGGCGGTACGGTTCGAGCCTCATTATGTCAACGTTAAATTTAAACAAAAAAAATATTTTTAGATGGGAATGATAAAGTTGCTTATCGAAACTTGGCGGGACACGGGGTAGGTAAAGTAGAGTTCACTTGTTTCTGTGACCTCAGCATATGAAGGAATAGTGTGGTCAGGCCATTGCTCACCCGAAATCGGTGTTTTTAAGAAAAAACACGTCTGTGGTTTGAAGTCTGTTTAAATGTGGGGTCTGGCTTTTTGTGGCGATATATGTCAGTGAGTAGGGAAGGAGAAAAATAAAAATCGTCAAAAAACGTGACGTCATTCATCAATGGCCTCAATGGCACATAGCCAGATGACACTATACTATTCTAATTGGTAATGTTTAGAAGTATCAGAGTACAAAATCATTCTTGCTGTTTTATCTTCTTGAAATATGCAGTCGATTCCACTGCTTTTTTGTTGTATTAATTAAAATATACGACTTGTTAATACGGAAGATTATCAGGGGGGGGGGGGGGGGGTAATTATACTATAAAAATTCTCATGTATACTAAAGCCAAGTAATCGCCTAGCTGCTTCTGGAGCACTAACATATCGCAAAACCAATAAATATTTTTTGCTGTTACCAATTAAAAAAATATTCTTATTTAGTATTTCGTCGTTTTCTGATAAATAGAATATTATAAAAGCAGGCCTAATTATATTAAAAAAAACTATTATAAACTGTTCTCACGCAATGATCTTTTTTAATAAAGCAATTTTTTTTCTGTATGTATTCAAACGTATTTAAAAGCGTGTTGGATTTTTGTGATTCCTAATTAATGAAGTCGACAAGACTAAAACTAGTCGTTTTAAAGCACCATCAGTTGCTCTAGATATTTGAAAGTCGATAGCAAGTTCTCAATCTTGTTACCTCCCTTTAGTTTTAAATTGTTTAAAATTTTATTATTTGCTGCTAATAACCTTAACTAGATCGACCGCATCTGCGATTGTAAACATAATCGTGAACCAAAGCTCACCAGACTGTTAGGGTAA